ATACGTAATTAAGTAAAGGTGACTATGTGCATATTATTACTATTACTCCATTAGAGGACGGAAATGTCTCGCTGATTGCTTTGAAATTGTATATGAAGTTCCGTGAAGTTTTGTCAGATTTTCTTTAATTTTGTCAGATTTTCTAGTCGCGTTAGAGGCAATTATTATATACAGAACATCATATATTTTACAAGGTGAAGGGGATCTGACCAAATACTTAGAGCGGCTGTTTAGATGATGATCGGTCAATTTTTCGAGGGTCAAATCAACCAAAACCTAAATTTTTTATTCTATGGCGTAAAAATTCTCTTCCAGAAAAAAACATTTTGGAAAATATGCAAGACTTAGAAATAGGAGTTGTTAATATATAATCTGTAAAAAGTGTGCAAATATCACGAAATATTGCCCAGACTCAGAATATAGAAGCATCGAAAGTGTGATTTTCGTGGTAGTTGTGTAGGGTATCATATGGTCGGCACCGTCCGACTATACTGCTCCGCTCACTGGTTTTCTGTTAGCTCTAAATTCCATTAAGACACTAAATGCTATCACATGTTCGTTCGTCTTTCAATGCTAAATTTTAAACAAAGTACAGGTCGCATTTATGATCCGAATTGGATGCTCATTTATTTGACCCAAGCTCCTATATATAGATTCATCTGATTTTAAGTAAATGGTGCACAAACAAAGATCGGCCCCGTATGATCGACCCCGTCCGACTATACTGCTCCGCTCACTGGTTTTCTGTTATCTCTAAATTCCTTTAAGACACTAAATGCTATCACATGTTCGTTCGTCTTTCAATGCTAAATTTTAAACAAAGTACAGGTCGAATTTATGATCCGAATTGGATGCTCATTTATTTGACCCAAGCTCCCATATATAGATTCATCTGATTTTAAGTAAATGGTGCACAAACAAAGACCCAAAGTTAGGCCGATTGAACTTTGCAAACCGTACTAATGGGATGGGATTGTTGGAATCGGTCCAGATTTGGATATAGTTCTATACATATTTTTGTACGATTTTAAGTTAATGGTGCATCAAAGAGTCAATGTATGGGCTATTAACACAAGCTCTGGTACAATGTACTAAAGTTAGTATAGACACGTTAGGCTCAAGTTTTATTAAAAGAGGTTCAGATTAAGATAATGCATCCATATACGTATATTTTCGTCCGGTTTCTAAATTTGCAAACCAATTTTTTCGAAAATAAAACTTTTTTAACCCACGACGAAGTTCTCGCATTGTCGAAGCCCCCAACGACCTCATTAGCTTTTTTTTTTGGTATTTAAAGGATAGGATTTTAATCCAGGGCCTCCTAGATGTTTAACATCAATGGTCAATATTATAGAATAAAAACTCAGTACAGTATTTTATAAAGTCGATTCGATTTGTCAACTTTGACTTTATTGGCATATGAGGAAGGATGGTTGTCTTATGATTTCATACTTTGTATGTAGGGTTTTATCCAACTTATCAAGTATTTATTTTCTCTCCAATATGAACTTTAGCGTTAATATGATTTTGTACATACTTACAATTATAAAAAAACATATACATTTTAATAGGCCACTTGCATAAACGTCTTTAAAATTCCACATACATCCAAACCATTAATAGCTGAGCCACATATGACCTCAGAATTTCATTTCTTGATATTTGATTTCCAAATAGCCTCCTACAACACTCCAGGAGTCATGCCATATGTGATATGGATGAGAGAACATCAATTAGATTTTTTTAACGATTTTATTTTTTTAACATTTCAAACAATGATAAAACATTTAAGTATTTATTTATGTGTGGGTGTGAACCGATTGTTTCTGTTTGTATATATGTTTTTTTATTCATTCCTTCCTTCGTCCGTCCTTCCATCCTGACGTCTACGCTGATAAGAGATATAACAATTTTGTTAGTCTTTACAACGTGGATTCAAAAATTTGGGACGATGGGGAGTGAATGTAAATCTAAGAGCATTTATGGGAGTTAAAATGTGTGGTGTCCATTTTTCCTTCATCATCATGTTGTTGTTGTTGTATTCGTTATGTGTTGATAATGGATTCTGATGTTCTGAGATTCATGCTGCTCTGAAATCGACTGCTGAGTAAACATTTTAAATTTGTAACAGCAGACAAACACCCGCCAATGTCCATTTGCCAGCCTTTTCCTTGGTCTTCAAATTAAATGTCCAAACATAAGTGGGACCACGTTGTCTGAAAATGGAAACAAGAAGAAGAAACGAGTGAAAAAAATAGGGCGAAAAATAAAGAAAAACGTAAATTGCAAGATGACGGAGGCATTAGACAGACAAAAGTAAAAGCTTCGACGTAGACAAAAAAGGGAAATTTTCGGGGGAAAATAATACAAAAAAAAAAAAAAATGAAATAAAATCTCAACAGAATCACACATCCCAGCAGTCATCGGGACAGCCAGTCAGCCAGCCGACATAACCCAAAAAGCTGTATTTTTTCTAGAGATTTACATCGGATGGGACGAGTTGATAAAACAAAAAAGACAACAGCAATCTCTACCAAATTATAATGGACTGTGAAAAGTGCTTTTGCCAAATGGCCAATCATTCAAAATTTCACACACTCATACAGATAGGAATAGCCACAGTAAAAAGGCGGATGACACCATTTTATTTGTTAGTTATGATGTATAAAGAAAATAGAAATAAAATACTTTAGTTTTTTTTGTTATTGTTGCAAAACCTAAATTTAAATCATCATCCAGACTGTTCTAAATTTGACTTAAAAGGGATTCCCGAGAATTCTTGGAGAAAGTTTTTTTTTGCATTTTGAAAATATTTTTATATACCCTTCGCATCACTGTCTTGGGTTCAATGAATGTCTTGGGCTTGCCATAACTATCTTCTTGTTCATCTAGTCCAGTTGGCATCCCTTTTGCCTTTTAAATATTTAACTTAAATTGTTTAATCGACTGTTCATATTACCTCTGGTGCAAAAATGTGATAAGAAACATTTAGAATGTGTTGCGTAAATAAACTAAACATATCCTGACCAAATAGTAAGGGATCGTTACAATGACAACAACAATAAGAAATAATATGTATAGGCATGTCCTCACAAAACAGTCATGTCCTTTATAGTAAAAAATAACAGAATTCAAATACTAAATTGTAGCCAATTCATTTTAAAAACTTGTTTAAACTTCCCAAAATACCGTTTTTTTTGTGAGGAGTTTGTGGGCCGATATCAATACATTTTGGTAGGAAAATTTACTACCCAATGTGAACTCAAAGTATTAATTAACAGCCAATTCGGTTAACAATTACCTAAAATACCGAATAATGGGGGTACCGTTATATGGGAGCTATACTAAAAAGGGGACCGATACCATCAATTTTTGGTAGAAAGACTGCATACCCAATTAGAAGCAATTCTGTTAAAAAGAGTGTTCAAACTCCCCAAAGTACCGAATAATGGTACTCTCCCGTTATATGGGGTTATCCTCAAGTTGAGACGGATATTAATAACTTTTAGTAAGGAGATTTGCTGGCCAATAGGTACTTAAAACACCAAATTACAGCTAATTCGGTTGAAAAACGCCAATATATCGAATAATGTGGGATGCCGATTTGCTGCCCAATTGAAACTTAAATATCAAATATTTTGGGGTAATGTGGACCTATATTTCCAAAATGTCAAAGCTGTATCAGAAATATTGCAAGTCCTATCGTGATTATCGACGTAGAATTTTATTCTGATTAAGAATACTTTACGGCGTCTCCGGTGAATATTTGTAAGTGTTGAAAACGGAATGACAAATTTTTGATGTAGGGTATATAAAAAAGTGAAAAATTTTTTAATAAGTAAATACATTGCGAGAAATATCAATAAAAACAATTTAAAAAAAAACAGATGTTTTAATATTTTTTGACAAATATTGTTTTGAAGGAATATCAACTATGTTGTCAGGGTATTATAGCTTTGTGCAGCCCCAAAAGTTTGTAACGCCGCGAAATACTGGTCCTAGACCCACCTTTAAGTATACCGATCGTCATATCTCGACTAGCTGAATCGATCTAGACATGTGTGTCCGTCTGTCCCTTATAATTTGTAAACACGATACAGGACACAGTTATGGAACAATCTTCACGAAATTTTGCATGTAGGATGGGTCCTGGCCAACGAAGACCCCTATTGTTTGTTGGAAAGATCGATTAATATTTAGGGGATGAAATGGACCAAATACTAAATTTATGTCGGTTTTTCTGGTCGCTCCAGAGGCCGCAATATTGGCCCGAACATCGTGAAATTTTCCATGGGAAAGGGGATCAGGCCAAAGAATATGCATAAAGATCTGTCAATATTTAGCGGTTCAAATGGACGCTGACTTTTGTGTGAAAAATGACAAAATTTGTATTCTATAGCGTATATATTTACCCCTGAAGGACCACTCCAAGAGGAGTGGTTGACCTTTAAATTAATACCAATTATATTGTTGTATGTGCTCGGATGTGGGAGTTACACCTAAATATTTACAGGTATCTCCGTATTCGTATATTATTTAGTAACCCATTATCTCTCTAGAGAGTGGAACTATAGCGCTTTTGAACTTTGAAAGGTTCCAGTTATGGTCAAGGACAACGCCTATAATTTTCGGAGATGATCAGATAATAATTTTGGAATTTAGTGGACCGAAAACTTAATTTTTGTGTTATTTTCGAGTCGATCTATAGACCACAAATGAAAGCCGATCATCACAACTCAACCCACGGTGAAGGGAATCTGGACAATAGCTGAATTGAATACTCGTAATATTCGGAAAATATGTCAGTGTGAGGAAGAAGGTGCAAATATCACCAAATATTGTCCAGGCTCGGAATATACATCCGCAGAAAATTTGAGTTCCTTGGTAGTTGTGTAGGGTATCGTATGGTCGGCCCCGTCCGACTATACTGCTCCGCTCACTGGTTTTTTACCATATATTACCGTCCGTCTGACCATTATAATTTGTCCACATTTATGAACCAAATGCCACGATGAAGGAGAAGAGGGGGTTTGATAATAATGACTAATGATCGGCCAGCATTTAACGAATCAAGAAAGGGACCAAGACTTTTGTGTGAAAGAAAATATTCATTCTAGATATGTTATATTTACTCCCGGAAGACATAATCCGGATAAGTTTCCAGAGCATCCAAGAGGTTGGTGTTCAAACTTATATAAAAGCAAGTAAATAAGTGGTTAAGTCCAACTCAGCCGTACTTGTTATACCCTCCATCACATGTGTGCATTTAAAATTCCTTAAATCGGTCGAAACTTTTAAATGGAGGCTCTATTATTGCATTATGTGTTCCAAATTATAGACACTCAGGTTGGAAACCTGGTGTAGGAACTTCAACATACCGAACCGGGTATAGGGTTTTTTTAATTAAATAATTTCAAGAAAGGAGATTTTTTTTGTTCTCCAAGAAACCAATATGAGAAATAAAAACTTAATAATATTGTAAAAAGGGCATTGAAAACCTAAAAGGAAAATTTTTCGCAAATAATGTGTTTTGTCCCCTATATTACGGAATGCCAAAATGCGGGTAAAAACTTCAAAATATGACAATGGGGCACTACCATTATATGTGAACTATGCTAAAATACGCATTATCAGCCTTCAAGAACCCTTTGTAGCAAATCCATCCATCGGTGGGAAAATGTAGTCCTAACCAGTAAGGGAAGTTCAAAAGTCGGACGGGGCCGACTATATGATACCCTTCACCACTTTGGATACATTCAGAAGATGCTAATATTTACAATATCCTGTAGATAGAACAGACATATAATCTTTAGAATGGGGCGAATTAAATATGTGTTTGTTGTACCATTTACTATACGAGACTATACATGGGAGCTATATCTAAATCTCAACCGATTTCAACAAAATTTTATGTACATCGAGCTGGACACAATTCAGTACTCTGTGCTAAATTTCCTAATCGGACACATATTGGGAGTTTGTGCTTCATTTACCTCAAATCGGTCGAAACTATATATGGGAGCTGTATCTAAATCTGAACCAATTTTCTCCAATTTCAATAGGGTTCGCCCTTGGGCCAAATAAGTGAACTGTGCTAAATTTCATCCAAATCGGATCATAAATGCGACCTGTACTTTGTTCACAAAAATACATGGACGAACGGACAGACGGACATGCGAAAATCGACTCAGAAAATGATTCGAAGCATATTCTCAAAAGGAATCATGGCTCTATCTCGATTCCTTTTGCCTGTTACAAACATATGCACAAAGATATAATACCCTGTTCCACAGTGTGGTGTATAAATGGGAGATATACCTAAAAGTAGCCCGATATACCCCATTCGCATTCAAAGCTCTATTTTAACTATTGCGATCTCGATCGTGATTTTCACAGATACACAGATTGACATGGGTATATCGATCAACTATATATATATATATATATATGTATATATTTTTTTTGGGATCTAAAAAGAATCTTTCGCAGGAGGGTGTAAAAAACATTCTTATGTAAACCAATACCTATATTTATATTTTTGCGAGGAGTTGTGATATACTCTGATGAACAAAGTGCTAAATTACAGAGATGCTTAGGGTACATGGAAACCTACCTTGAGGTCTTAGCCCGTACCAAGCACAGGTACCAATCGATCACACGTATTTGTACGCAATCACCTTATTGGAAGATTAGCGGAGCCCATCTAAAAATCCTGCCTATATATGGATCAGCACCAGGTTGTAATGCAACGCAACACCGAACCGAAACTCGACCCACGATTTGGGTGTAAACCCCCCACCAGCATGATGCTCCTCCAAAATGTCCACAGTAACTATCAGGCTACATCCGCAGACCTGAAGGACCTGACTCCCGTGCTACCGAAAACCTTCGTTCAGGTTCATAATATAATAGAATTTCACCATTTGAACTAATATCTATAGGCTCTACACAATGCACTATAGGTAATTTGCCTTGTTTTTGAGGCAAACATTAATAACAGCCTCCCATCACCACAGGCCTACAAAGTAAAGAATGGACACCAGCGACCAACAACCACACTCTAAGAAGAGTGAGAAATCAAACACAATACAACTGAAATTTAACCTACGACTTGGATGTAAACCACCACCAGCACAATGCTCTCCGAAAGGCCAACAGTAACTGCCAGACTAAATCCGCAGACCTAGAGGCCCTGACGCCGTGCTAACGAAAACGTGCGGTCAGGTTCATAGCCGAATAGAATTCCAAACAGATCGAGACTAATTTCCACACAACCTTCCATCACCACAGGCCTACAAATTTCAGAATGGACACCAACAACCACACACATAAAAGGAGTCACAAGTCAAACTCCATACAACCACGAGCGCAACACACCACACTCCAAGTGCCATGACGGTCATGGCAAATGTAATAAACACAAGAACCACCAGGAACCAAGAGCAAGGAACCACTCATCACCCAGCTATGGCTGAGTCGGTGCCAGACTTCCCCAGAATATAGAGCTATACGTCAACACAGCCCAATTGTCAACCCCTCAGACCAGCAAATGATGAGCCGGTATAGTAAACGCTAAAGCAGCTCATAAAAACACCGGAAGACGACTAACTCAGAAACTCAGAAAGAAAGCCTAGTTATCCTCCCATTAAACACCTTCCTCCTTCCCACAACAAATGCACACATATTCTTATCGCCCACAACCGAAGCGGTTAGATCCCAAAAAATTTTGGTACTCTGAATACCCATTGTCACGATAATACATGCAGCGTGTCATCTCTAAATGATAAATTACGGCCAATTCGGTTAGCAATAATCCTCAAAGTATTTAAAGTAGGTCCGGTGGAGTTATTGGGGGTTATATCAAAATATGGACCTATTTAAGAGTCCATCGATGAACTTAGATATTTGAATGGCCATAAAACATCGTACTGGGAAAAACTGTTTTAATGAATTAAATCGTGGTCAACGCTCGCCAAAAGACGAAGGTCGCCCAAAACCGCCGTTTTACTAGGGATCTACAAATGCATGAACATTATGTGATATACCGTTAGGTAAAGGCATCCCTAGGCATTTTTTTCACCATCAGACATTTTGTATCAAATGAAAACCTTGCTTTAGAAAATTTTGTTCTCACGGGATTCAAAAGACTTTTATAAAATCGGTACATATCGAAGCAAGAATTTTCAAAGACTATTCCAATCTAATGTCCAATGTTGCTCGTGAAAGAAGAAAATGGCAAATGTTTCGCTTGACGATAGTAGGATGGTCAGGCCTGATCACAATTTGCTTGTCTGAAGTCTTCGGAGAAATACGAAAAACGAACATCGACTCAAAGATGCGCATTTTAACTGGAACAAAAATGGAATTGATGGATCATTCGCAGTACAGGCCTGATATCACATTCAATGACTTCAAGATTTTCTTCACCAGAAGATGCACTCCTCTGCTATGGCTTCAAAATTTTTCGGTATTTAGGAGAATTTGGGCAATTTTTCTAAGCATTATACTTTGTTAGTAAAAATTATAATTTTTTGCGTTCTAAATTGACCCTCATATTATGGTCAACTTCCACTTACATTATAGCATTACGAAGTGGTAATAATTTGGCATTTGGCGATTTACAAACCACCTACATTTATATTTCAATCCATTACTTATGACACAACAATTTACCACTTTTCAACTAGAAAAACAATATTACCTCATCCAATAAAAATAGACACACACACAAAAGAATTTTATTTCAATGCCACTTTTCTTTGCAACTCAGCACTTCGCGTAAAAATTTTCATTTGTTTCTATTGGCATCAAATATTGACAGCACTGATGAAAGCTCACAGATAACTCTCTAAACGTTTGTAGCCAAAGCGAAGGCAGCAAAGTTTTTTTGTTTACGATGTGGTGGCGGTGGTGGTATATTAACACTTCTGCCGATTGCTTCGTTTCGTGTCTTATTTCCCCATCGAATTGAGTCACGATGAGACAATTTGGCGTCAGGTCATGGTGCTTGACTTTAATATAAATGGAAAGTTTTTTGTCGTTTTGAATTTTGGCATATTTTTGTGTTCATGTTAGGTTTTGTTCCTGGTTAGGGATGATCATGAAGGAGATATGGGATAGATTTGGGAGTGGATTTTTTTTATAAATATTAATTTTCCAAGGCCTTTATAACGCGTGGAATTTTTAAAGATTCATTTTCCAAGGCCTATATGAGGCGTGGATTTTTTAAAGATTCATTTTCCAAGGCCCATAATAGGCGTGGATTTTTTAAAGATTCATTTTCCAAGGCCCATAATAGGCGTGGATTTTTTAAAGATTCATTTTCCAAGGCCTATATGAGGCGTGGATTTTTTAAAGATTCATTTTCCAAGGCCTATATGAGGCGTGGATTTTTTAAAGATTATTTTTTCAAGGCCTATATGAGGCGTGGATTTTTTAAAGATTATTTTTTCAAGGCCTATATGAGGCGTGGATTTTTTAAAGATTATTTTTTCAAGGCCTATATGAGGCGTGGATTTTTTAAAGATTATTTTTTCAAGGCCTATATGAGGCGTGGATTTTTTAAAGATTATTTTTTCAAGGCCTATATGAGGCGTGGATTTTTTAAAGATTATTTTTTCAAGGCCTATATGAGGCGTGGATTTTTTAAAGATTATTTTTTCAAGGCCTATATGAGGCGTGGATTTTTTAAAGATTATTTTTTCAAGGCCTATATGAGGCGTGGACATTTCAAAGATTATTTTTCAAGGCCTATATAAGGCGTGGATTTTTCAGAGATTATTTTTTCAAGGCCTATATGAGGCGTGGATTTTTTAAAGATTATTTTTTCAAGGCCTATATGAGGCGTGGATTTTTTAAAGATTATTTTTTCAAGGCCTATATGAGGCGTGGATTTTTTAAAGATTATTTTTTCAAGGCCTATATGAGGCGTGGATTTTTTAAAGATTATTTTTTCAAGGCCTATATGAGGCGTGGATTTTTTAAAGATTATTTTTTCAAGGCCTATATGAGGCGTGGATTTTTTAAAGATTATTTTTTCAAGGCCTATATGAGGCGTGGATTTTTTAAAGATTATTTTTTCAAGGCCTATATGAGGCGTGGATTTTTTAAAGATTATTTTTTCAAGGCCTATATGAGGCGTGGATTTTTTAAAGATTATTTTTTCAAGGCCTATATGAGGCGTGGATTTTTTAAAGATTATTTTTTCAAGGCCTATATGAGGCGTGGATTTTTTAAAGATTATTTTTTCAAGGCCTATATGAGGCGTGGATTTTTTAAAGATTCATTTTCCAAGGCCTATATGAGGCGTGGATTTTTTAAAGATTCATTTTCCAAGGCCTATATGAGGCGTGGATTTTTTAAAGATTCATTTTCCAAGGCCTATATGAGGCGTGGATTTTTTAAAGATTTTTTTCCAAGGCCTATAAGGCGTGGATTTTTTAAAGATTTTTTCCAAGGCCTATATGAACTTTGATTTCTTTGTGAGAACAAGTCTATTCAAGAAATTTACGGAGCAATCGAACAGAACCATAACAAATCGATCATATCAAACAATCATTTTTTGTAGTTTTAATTGAAATTGTCATTGCGCGATGAAATGTGGTGAGGTTCCGTGGTGAACAAAACACCAACAGAAAAAGAGAGAAAGCCAACAAAAAAAAAAAAAAAAAAAAAAAAAAACCGAATGTAATTTGGGGCTAAAAACACTTTGTCATTCTAGCGAAGGAAGCATATAACATTTCAAATTTACAACCATCCCAATGACTATTTCTTCCCACTATGACAAATTGTGTAATTTCCACTTGCCATTGAAGAACTGTTGACAATCTCTGAAACCTAAAAAATGCGAAGAACTTAAAACTTTCACGGCATCCGGTTTACCCAGCATAGACTTGTGTCATTCATTTGGTCACGACAGTCAGTCAATCAATCAATCAATTGCGAATTTAACTACCCACCAAACCAGGATCATCACGTTTACGAGCACTTGAACATCATTGACGTCGATTTTGTCAAACATGCCGAACGAGGCAATAACAAAACACCAACAGAAAAAGAGACAAAGCCAACAAAACAAAAAAAACCCTATGTAGATGAATATTGTTTGGTTTTTTAGATAAACGAGAAAGAGATTAAAGGCGTCTACATTATCTATAGTCCTTGAAAAAGCCTATTTAAAAAATCCACGCCTTATGATAGTCCTTGAAAAAGCCTATTTAAAAAATCCACGCCTTATGATAGTCCTTGAAAAAGCCTATTTAAAAAATCCACGCCTTATGATAGTCCTTGAAAAAGCCTATTTAAAAAATCCACGCCTTATGATAGTCCTTGAAAAAGCCTATTTAAAAAATCCACGCCTTATGATAGTCCTTGTAAAAGTCTATTTAAAAAATCCACGCCTTGTAATAGACCTGTTATTAAAAGAAATCCACGATAGTGCAGAACCAATCTCAAAAAATCATATTCGCATTAGGCTCTCGAAGTATAAGAGATATAGTTTCCTTACCTTATTTTATAAACAGGACATTCATAAATATTCTTTGTATCCTGTTTGTCTTTTTGCACCGCCTTGACAAATATAACCGGCATGGCTGGGAATAATTCCTTCAGATAAGCATCGGCTATGGAATTTAATTGCATATCCCAACGAGCACCTTCCATAAACAGTCCATTAATATAGGCACCTTCTCGAGGAGCGGAACTAAAATTATGAAAACATATTTAATAAAGATTTCTCCTATCCACTCCCCTTCCCGAAAAATCCTCTTACGATATTTCATCCTTAAACTTCTTGGATCTGAAACCCATGTTTCCAGTTCTCGCAGTCGCAATTGTAAATCAGCAAACCATGACTGGAGACCCAATGTACTGGGATAGGCCAATTTTGTCCATGACTCCGGCACCTGATCCATAAATAGGGAAGACATCAGATTTTCATGGTTGAGGAGA